TGCTGAGCACACTTGCTGCTCCTCAAGCGCCGTCTCCCAGCTCCACCTGCGCTCACAGACCAGAGCTGGGGAGGTTTGCCCCAGGATGCTGAGAGAGGAGATGAATTCTCTTCCCTGGGAGGGTGGGGAGAAGCTGGCACAGGGTGCCCAGAGCAGCTGTGGCTGCCCCTGGATCCCTGAAGTGTCCAAGGCCAGGCTGGACAGAGCTTGGGGCAGCCGGGGACAGTGGAAGGTGTCCCTGCCCGTGTCCCACCCCAGGGGGTGGCACAGATGGGCTTTGAGGTCCCTTCCAACCCAGCCCAGGCCATGATCCCATGGTCTGCCCAAGGGAAGGAGTGGATGTACCCATCCCACTGGGATGTGCTGGTGCTGGCCCTACAGCACACACTGGCTGGATCTCCTGTTAATGGAAAGCTTGGAGAGCAGGGATGGTCCCAGTGCTGAAAGGCAGCCTGGGGCTTCCCTAAAATCCCAGAGATGGATGGAGGGGAGGCAGGCTCAAGCTGGCACAGCCATGAAGCTTTTAACTAACAAGAGTAAGAGAAATAAACACTGGGAAAGATCTCTCTGTGAAGAGTATTTCCAAGAAAGCTTTTTAATTTTTCTGCTTGTTTTCCAGCTGAAAAGCCTTCCTATTATCCCTGGCTGTTCCAGGAGGTGCAGCAGCACAAGGGGACCCAAACAGATGAGGCTCTGAGCAGCCATTCCTCTTTGAAACACAGCTCTGTCTAATCCTGCTCCGAGCAACTTCAGGCAGCATGGTGGGGAAAAAACTGCTGGTTGCTGGCACCTTGCCTAATGTAAGCATTCCTGCTGCTACCCTCAAAAACACTGAGGGATTTTTTTTCAGTGACAAGTTCTGCAAAGAGAACTGAAAAACTTCTCCCTGGAAAAAAAAAATCACAAGAATCTGATTTTCTGAAATAGGAATGGAATTTTAATTTCCGTCCAAGCGCAGCGCAGGTGCTTCAGCATTTGTGTTGCTGTGAGCATTGTCTCAGAAAAGCTGCAGAAAGATAAACCAAGTGAGATGAAAGAACCCATCCCAGAAAGAGAGGGCTGTGCATGTGCAGATAGTGTGGAGAGAGAAGAATCAGCATGACCTTTATGGAAGGGCATAAAAGGGATGAGCATCAGGCCTTGGAACTGGTGAACCACCCTGAGCTCAGTGTCCATCATCATGATATCTGAATACTTGGGCAGAGGTCAATGATCAAAGCAGGCACGTTCAAGGAGGGGAAAAAAGCCCTGCAAAGTGCAGTAAAAATGCTCCAGTTTGCTGAAGCCCAGATTTAAACCTCATTGAACACCTCAGCTTTGGTGCAGACGAAAATGAAGGAACTCAGAATTCCTGTTTGAAAGCTGACACTTGAAACGTGCCTGGAGCCAAAGGAAGGCAACACAAAATCTAGAATTACCCACACCATTTAACTCTGATCCATTGCACCTGCCTGAGAACAGTGACTGCAGGAGGATCCTCCTCCTCCTCCTCTGCACATGGAGCCCAGGATTTCCAGAAGGAAGACCATGGTTCTCCCACAATTATCACCACAGGCTTCTGGAGCCCATTTGCAGCATCTCAAACGCTTTGATCAAAGTGTTTGCATCTCCCATAACACCTTTGATGGCCTATTTTGGATTTGTGGTCTTCAAAAGTGCAGAAATCCTCTGAGGGTGCAAATCAACATTATACTTTGATCAAAGTGTTTGCATCTCCAACACCTTTGATGGCCTATTTTGGATTCCTGGTCTTCAAAAGTGCAGAAATCCTCTGAGGGTGCAAATCAACATTATGGTGGGGAAGAAAAATCCCCAAGGGAATTTTTTAGGTCACTGCACAGATTTGTAGCCAAGCACTGGAGAACTAGAAAATAACTGGAACTGAAAACTGCTCTGAAGTGCAAGACAGATGTGGAAATCATAGAATCATGGAGTAGCCAGAGTTGCAAAGCACACACAAGGATCACTGATCCCACTCCTGGCCCTGCACAGACACCCCAACAATCTCACCCTGGGCATCCCTGGGAGTGGTGTCCAAACCCTCCTGGAGCTCTGGCAGCCTGGGGCTGGGACCATTCCCCACACCCTCTGGGGGAAGAACCTTTCCCTGAGATCCAACCTAAACTCCTCTGACGTTCAACTGCTTGGAGAAAACACCCAGAACAGCCTGAACCTGGCTGGACTCGAGGATCCTTGAGGCCCTTTCCAACCTCAATGATTCGGTGGCTCTGCCTTGCACCAACACAAGTCCTGGAAAACCCAAAGGCTGCCAGGATTTGGGAAGAGCAGCCCCCCCAGCCCTTCTGAGTCTTGCTAGGACGTCCTCACTGGCAATCTCCAGGCACCATCACTCTTTGTGAGACGCCCTTCTCCTAAAGGACAGGGAGCTGGGGCACGCCTCATTGCCTTCTCCTTCAGCTCCCGCTGACGGACGAGGCCGCCTGTCCTCGCTGTCAGCCATCCCCTCCCAGCCCCAACAAGGATTCAAGGACCAGCCAGATTACCTGCCTGCTGAAGGATGCCCAGAGCCCTGCCATGCCCAGAGCCCTGCCTGGAAACTCCTCATTCTGCTCTTGTGGCCAAAGTGCTGCTTTGCAGCAGCAGGGCTGTGCTTTGAAGAGATGGTGTAAAATTAAAGAATTTAATGATCACTGAGGCCCTCCTGAGACACAACTGGCAAGTCCCAAACAGAGCAGGTGCTCACCTCAGAAGACATGCGAGAAGAGGCAGGTGAAAGGAAGCTGATGGGCTCATGCAGAGGTACAAACACTGTAAAAGGAGGGCTGGCACTGCTGGAGCATGTCCAGAGGATGGGATGGAGCTGGGAAGAGGCTGGAGCCCCAGGAGAGGCTGAGGGAGCTGGGAAGGGGCTCAGCCTGGAGCAAAGGAGGCTCAGGGGGGCCCTTGTGGCTCTGCACAACTCCTGACAGCCGGGGGGTCGGGCTGTGCTCCAGGGAACAGGGATAGGAGGAGAGGGAATGGCCTCAGGCTGGGCCAGGGGAGGCTCAGGGTGGAAACTGGGGAATATTTCTTCACAGGAAGGGCTGCACAGCCCTGGCACAGCTGCCCACGGCAGTGGTGGACTCTCCATCCCAGGAGGTATTTAGAAGATGTGTGGATGTGGCACCTGAGGACAGGGATTAGTGGTGGCCTTGGCAGTGCTGGGGGAATGGACTGATGACCTCAGAGGGCTTTTCCACCCTAAATGGTTCTACTCCCTTTGAGGCTCCCTGTGTGTTACTGAGCTGCTGCTTGCCAACACTTCCTGCCTTTCTGGAAGCACATTGATCCAATTCCTATGAGAGGGGACAATTTTGTTGAGTTACTGCAAGAGGATTGCAAGAGGATTTCAGGTAACACGGTGAGATGCTGGAAGATGAGGAGAAGAGGAAGAGGAAACAGAGGAGGATGAAGGATGGACTCTGCAATCAGAACAGGGACATCAGGGACAAGAGAGCCAAGTGCAAACTGCTCCCTCTGAGTCTGTGCCTGCAGCCCAGGACCACACAGGCTCCAGCTCCAGTGCCTTGTGAAAACAATCTCCCCAGGAGAAAGAAAACATCCACCTATTAACTGCTCAGAAAGAGATTTTTCAAAGGCTCTCGATATCCAGCTGGTCTTGATTCATATTGACTTCAACAAAATATTCTTGGGCCAATGGTGAACGCTCTGAAAAATCCCCTCTGTAATTTGCCATTGAGGTTTGAAAATAAGTGGTGTAAAAGGGCTTCTTTAAAAGAAAAATAATAAAAAAAGGACAAATTAAAAATGAAAGGTTGAACTAAAATTTGGCTTCGGGCCATAAACTAGGGGGAAACTAACAGCAAAGATAGTTAAATGACTGGAAAGAGAACACAACAGGAGCTGTTATGAAAAAAAGCTGATGGCTTTTTTAAAAAGGATTTGTATAGATAGCTGGGGAAATAAATTCCGGATGTGATAGAAGTGCAATTGAGAAATTAAATAAATGGAAAATAAGGATGACTAAGTAGTAGTTAACATGCCCCTTCTCAGTTGTATACTATTATCACATCTATTTTTAATGTCTCTTCAGCTGTCTGCAATTGTCATCCTTTCTTCAGAACTTGTTCCAACATTCTTTGATACTGAATTAGCTGTTTTTTACTCTCCCATGCTTACAACCACATCTTTTTCTTACTCAACACTCCCCTTTTCCCACAATGTTATTCCATTGTCTCCCTTTTTCATCTCTCCTTATGTGTTGACTCCCCAGTTTCTGAGCCCTCCAACCACCCTTGTTCATCTTTCTTTTTCTGGAGCTCTTTTGGTTGAATCCTAGCATGTTTCTTTTCTTCTTTTCTAAAGCTGCAAGCATGTTTTATATCATACCTGGCTCCTGTACACATTGTTACCCCTTCAGAAGAGCATTGAACAGCTACAGCAGTGTGGAAATAGTAAGCTAAACTAAGGGAGAAAAAGAAGTTCTTTTTGGCTTTTGCTTTCTGGCTCGTAAAAAAAAGAACCCAAACATTTAAACTCTCCCCTTTTCCCTTTTATCCTCAAATAACACAAGCTTTCCACAAGCAGCTGAATATTCAAACAATGACAGGCATCAGAAGTGTTGGCCATTCTAGAGCTCAGGATGTGCCTAAGGAGATGTGATAACACAAGATTTAATAATACTGAAAAAAATACACAAGTTCTGACGTGATCCGTGGGCTATGGAGTGAACCTGAATTTTTCCTCCTTGTTAACCTTCCAAGTGTGCCTCTTCCTTACCTCAACACCTAATGATGCTCCATATTAACTTGGGGACTCTGATTTATGAAAAAAAGAGGTTCTAAACACATTCCAGCAGCTGAATTCACCACTGTGACGCCTCAGCTGCTTCAGCTCCATCCTCACAAGCTCACACTTTAATTTCTCACAATCCCCTTTCTTCCCCCCGTGCATTCAGAGCCGAGGCTGGTGCTGAGCTAACAACACTCTTTGGAACGGCATTTTCAGAATTCAGGCGTGGATTTTGATTGGGAACCTACCCTCAGCCGTGCCCGAGATGCCATCAGCCTTGAAGTTGCTTGTGCTTTTCTTCCGGCGGTGCTTCTTTCTGTTGGCGTGGGGGGAAGGAGGGGGGTCCAGCTTGGGGCTGGTGGTGCTGGAAATGCTGGGGCTGGAGCACACGGAATCTCCCAGGCCCGTGTCTGCAGTTGGGTGGGGGGGGGAAAAAGAGGGGAGAAAAGATCAAAATGCTGTGAGATTGAAATGAGTTGATTGCTACAATCCGAGCTTACAACCCCTGCTTGCTGGCAGACACGCTCTTGAGCTCCTTCAGGAGATTCCCCAAACAATATCCATGTTTTTTTTCCAAAAAACCCCAACTTGGCTGAAGTGCTGATTCAAGTCCTGTTAGATTAACAGGACTCAGCAGCAATTTTAGGAGCAGGCCAGCTGGAATGTAAAAAAACAATGGGAAAGCACTTTATTGCTTCCAATTGCCCCCTCCTCCAAAGATCTTCCCTAGCTCCAAATTAATTTGTGTGAAACTTGGGCATTTTAATACATAACCAGAGATAACCCTACATCCTCTGGATGTTCTCTGCTGTCATTGACATCAGACAGACACCCACTGAAAAGGTGGTGATGGCAATAAAGGTGGGGAAATAAGGCAAGTAATGTGCACCTGGTACAGGTAATAATTGTGTGATAAAGGGTCACTTCCTACCTGCTCCCAAGGAAAATAAATAATCTACATTACTCTGTTCAGTTTCCTGCTTTATTAACTCCAACAATTTTAAGAACTGGGTCTTTCCACACAGTAAATATTCAAGTAACCTTAATCCAGGATTTCCCCCCAAGGTTGGTAATATGATTTTTGTTTAATTACTGGCTTGGTTTGGATTTTAATTATAAAATTCCACATAAAACCTACACTTAAAGGAAAGTGCTTGCTATTATGTGAAGTGAAGCCATTTCCAGAACCTTGCTTAAATACCATATTGCACCTCAGTGCAGTATCAGGACTGCATTTATGCGCCATATCCTTAAAATCTCCCAGACAGATATTCAGCAAATACATTCCCATGATTGCCTTTTGGGGTTAAATACTTGATGATTGGTTTCAGAATAGCAGACACAGGGAAAAAGAATAAAAATCCTAATTATAAAGCTTAAGTGCATTTAACTTAATATGTCAGAAAAAATATCAAGCCAAAGATTATTAAAAAAATAGCTTTTGATTCTTTTTGCATTATTATAAAGCTTAAGTGTAATAACAGGAGTGCATTTAACTTAATATGTCAGAAAAATATCAAGCCAAAGATTATTAAAAAAATAGCTTTTGATTCTTTTTGCATAGTTAAATTCCCACAGAACTGCCTATTTGACAAAAGCCAACTTATTTTGGTTTCTTTTCCCTCCTAATAAAGTTTATTTACTAATTACTCCCTAAGCACAGTTGTGCTCTAAGTTATTAGTGGGGGATAAATTATGTAGCTAATTGCCTGGCAAGAGAGACCAAACCAAACATTAATCTTTATATTAAGGATTTCTGTTCTTTTCCCTACATCCACTAGCTGGAAACCAGTTCCCAAGAATTTAACCCCAGAAGGGAATCATGGGAATGTATTTACTCTGTATCAGTGTAGGAGATTTTAAGGGTTTGACCCACAACTGGTGCAAGGGGCTCTCCTGGCAGAGTTTGCCGTCTCTCCAGGAGAGGAGGAAGGCAAACCCAGGTGAAAATCCTGGTGGGAATTCTCCCAGCCAAGGGGACAGAGATCCCTTTGGATCCATGGCACAGAGAGAAGATGCAGAAGAGGGTGCCAGAAAAACAAAGGCATGAGCACAGGTGCAACAGGGTTACTGCCAGCCCCAAGCAGAGACCTCCAGCTTGACTCTGGAGGCTTCCACTGGTGATTCAGAAACACAAAGGGGCATGAGCACAGCTGCAGTAGGGTTATTCCAGTCCCAAGCAGAGACCTCCAGCTTGACTCTGGAGGCTTCCACTGGTGATACTTCAAAAGAAGGAGAAAACCCCCAGGTTGCCCAGAGAAACTGTGGCTGCCCCATCCCTGGGAGTGCCCAAAGCTGGGCTGGATGGGGCTTGGAGCAACCTGGGCTAGTGGAAGGTGTCCCTCTCTGAGGTGTAAGAACCAGGTGATGTTTAATGTTCCTTCCAACCCAAACCTTTCTGGGATTCTATGATTCAAAATGCTTCACTTTCCCTCACCCCCATTCCCAGCTTTCAGTTTCTAAACAATCAAACCCATCCGAGTTCATCCCGTCCTGCACCCGCAGCATGCCCTGCACCCATCAAATGGTGAAAAAACCCCACAATCCTGAGGTAACACCACAGAATACATCCTGTTAAAAAACCATCAGGCCAGATCCACACGCTGGTGGCAGCTCTGTCTAATTTCCAGGCCGTAAATCCCCCCAACAAAACCTGCTGGAGAGCTCTGAAAAATGAGGGACGTACGGGGCTGACGCCTGGCGTCGGAGAGCTGAAGAATTAACCTCCCGTGGTAAATCCTCGTCATCCACAGCCCCTTCCAGGTAATAACCTGCTGTCCTTGGGTCAAACTGCTCTCAAGTGGGAGCCTGGAGCTCTCCCTCCCCCTCAAGCAGCAAGGGAAGGTTGGTCCCTCATAAACGGAGCCGAGTGGGGATCGCCGGCGCGCTGCTGCCCCGGATCCCCGCTCTCCCTTTGAGGATGGGAGTTATTTAACATTGCCCTGCTTTAAAATATGAGCAATCAAAAGGCACCAGGCTTCCACGCTGCGCTCTCCCATTTCCCACTCCTTCCCGTGCCTGACAAGGTATTCTTCAAATTGAAAAGAGGGCTCCTGAAAGCTCGGGCTTGGGGAAACTGTAAATGAGTTCAGGCTTCAGCCCGCTGAATGCAATTTCATCCTCCTGACTGAATACAAATAATGCATTTTATTTGGTATCAATTACCACGCCTGAGAACAGACGACCACTGCCGGCACTATTAAATATATATTTAAAAAAAAAGAAAAAAAAAAAAAAGAGGGGGGAAAAAAAGGCAAGGATAAAGGCACGGCAAATTAAAAAAGCAAGCGCCTCATTACTCCCCATCTCAAGCAGCTTTGACAGAGGCACTGGAACTCATAAGCTGCGTTCCACTGGGCTGGGATGGGCTGTTTTCCAGCCATCCCGCACGCTCAATGTCAGCCATTAGTTCTTCCCAATCGGGCATCAATGTTCAACACACACCCAAAAAAATATATAATACTGGTAATAATAATAACAATCTGCAGCCTCTCCGAGCTTCAATACTTGAAGTATGAGTCAAAGCAGCAGTTTCACTTTTCACTCGGGAAGCTGACAAGCATGACTAGAGGGGGAATAAAATAACATTCAGTTCGCATAAATATCAAGCGGGCTGCTTGAGACTGATGGGCCAGGAATGTATTCTTAGCCATCATTCTGGCAGACAGGCCCAAGGACACTCATAACTTATTTTACAATCATTTAGTTTCAGCTCAAGTGGAAAACGTGACAACTTATCTCTGCTGACAAGATGCCATATCGAACCTTACAATTAACTCTCCCCCGATTATCTGCCCAGCCCATCATTAGCTCTGCGGCTCTTGATGGACTGTAGGGACACAGCTTCCCTTGATGATGGTCATCATTTGCAGGGTGCACAGCTCCATGACACGACACCGAGGACAAAACTCTCCCCTTGCCACGGAGCTGGGGTTGTCCTGACCGGCACAGCCTCGGTTTTGCCCCTGTTTTGAAGTGATGAGCGGCACAACGCTGCTGGAAAATGTCTTCTCCCCCCAAACAGAGCATCCCCGTGTTTCAGCCCACGCCTGCTGCTGCTGCTGCAACCTCCAGGAGTGAGGCAGAGATGCCCACGCTCTGTCCCAGCTGCCAGGAGCCTTCCTCTTGCCCTCCATCCCTCTCCAGTGCCATGATTAACTCCTTCAGCCGGAAGGGAGAGCTGACACAGCCACATCGCAGAATCATTTGGCTTGGAAGGGACCTTAAACCCCAATTCCTGCCACAGGACACCTTCCCCTGTCCCAGGTTGCTCCAAGCCCTGCCCAGCCTGGCCTTGGACACTTCCAGGGTTGTGGCACAACCCTGTAAGTATGTGCAGTATCTCACTCCATGCCCAAAAGCAGCAAGTGACCCTTGGTGACCAAACACCCCTCGAGTTATGCAGAGATGGGACATAAAAACCCCACCCCTCTGCTCTTCACATGGTGATTTTTCTCTACAGGTGCAGCACTCATGAATTAAGACAGAGACTGTTCTGCTGTGCAAGTCCAACCCTCATTTGTGAGAATTTACCAAACAAAATAAAAAAGCCAATGCAGCTTTCACTCCACAAGGCAAGTGCCATGTCTGCCTCTCTCCAAGATCCATTTTGCAATTATGGTCATGAGAGAAATTCCTTTCAAGTATGACAAACTGTGGCAGAAGAAAGGAGGGGTGGAACAGAAGAAACACTTTGTCTACAACTATAACCCAGAGTCAAGAGACAGAACATTAAATGAAAAACAATCCTCAGAAGAGTCTCAAGAGCTGTGCTGTTGCACTGGGCTTTATTTGCTGTTTGAAACAATTTCATATCCTCTTCCAGTGTTACAAATATTTTGTAAAAGGCAACAATTCCCACTTCCTATCTTTTCTATTATTTTGCTATTTGGAAGCTGCACGTGCTCAACAAATGGATGTCAAAGACAACTCCATTTGTGTCCCCTAAGGACTTTGTGAGTGTCCTCCTGGATTTGAAAAGGGTGGGAAATTAACAGAATCATCACTGAATCACAGGACTGGAAGTGACCCAATAGACCATCTCATCCCACCTATGCCATGGGCAGGGACACCTTCCACTGTCCCAGGCTGCTCCAAGCCCCAGTGTCCAACCTGTCCTTGGACACTGCCAGGGATCCAGGGGCAGCCACAGCTGCTCTGGGCACCCTGTGCCCCCTGTGCCAGGGCCTGCCCACCCTCACAGGGAACAATTCCTAATTCCTAATATCCCATCCATCCCTGCTCTCTGGCAGTAGGAGCCATTCCCTGTGTCCTGCCCCTCCATCCCTTGTCCCAGTCCCTCTCCAGCTCTCCTGAGCCCCTTTAGGCCCTGGAAGGAGCTCTGAGCTCTCCCTGGAGCCTTCTCTTGTCCAGGTGAGCACCCCAAACTCTGAGCTGTCTGAAACTCAAT